GGAGTGTACAATAGCAAATTAAGTAAAGCTAGATAAAAGCAAGACCACCCAACATTGTTCACCCTGTTGCCCACCCACTTTAACAATGGTATATTCCAATTGGGTGGTTTATGTCCTGGGTGGTTTATGTCCGTATACCAATTTTAATAGCTTTCGTGTGATAAAAAAAAATGAATATTCCAGTTACGGACTTGGTTCAAAATACAACTTATATATATATATATATATTAAAAGGCAAAATACTGAAAAACAACAATGCTGTGGGAAACAATGGCTGGATCTCGGTAGAGATACAAATATGATAAGCAACAGCTAAAAAGTAAACGTAAGTAAACAGCCAGAAATAGAACCAGAGCTTTCAGACAACACTAGTCCTTCCTCTGTGGCGAGTGAGTGAGGGTAGAAAAAGCCAGATAGTATAAATTGAGAATTTCATGCAAGCATGATTAGAAACAATAGGCTAGGTGAGATAAGAATAAACAGCGTGAACAAGTGAACAGGAAGGCCAAAACTAAACTTTAGAGGCATAAATAAGCCAAATGATTTATAAATTTGGAATGCCACTGGTTTAATTTAGTGTACTGATAATTGATACCTAATATTGAGTCCAAATGGTGTGGTGGTTTTAAGTAAAAGTTCCCAGTGATTCTCTTTATCTTTGCGATTTTTGTCGCTCCAATTGGCATTATGGTCTATTGCAATTACTCTGAAATTTGAAATTGAATGACCAGCTAAATTGAAATGTTCGGCTACTGGTTGATCAAGCTTAGATGTTCTGATAGCTGATCTATGTTGTGTCATTCTCATACGGAGTGTCTTTTGATCTTCCGACATATTGTTTACCACAAATATTACAACATATGAGATAAATGACATATTTGGTGAGGCAATTAATTAATTGCCTTATCCGAAATATGTGGTTTGTTTGGTTGCTCTTGAATGATTGTGTAGAATCAAGCAAGGAGCATGTTTTGCTATCATGAATATACAATATTCATTGTATATTGTAGCATTTTTTTGTAATCACCTGGTTCTCATTCCTGAAGATGACCAATAAAAATGAAAAGTGAAATCATTGTCTCCCTCTCTTTATTTTATATCATTTAAACTTGCCCCTGCTGGTTGTTGTAAAAGATTTGTAACCAAAATGTTTGATCGCGATTTCATATTAACATGGTGTCCTTTCAAATTACTTACCTACATACCAGTAGATAAATAGATAAATAATCAATTAGCATTGCAAAAATGCGATGATGAATTGAAAGGGAAGATGCATTCAAAACAAGCAAAGCTATTTCCTATGAAGCCCCGTCCGTACAAGAAAAAATGGTCGACTTAACTAATTTAACTATAACGTTGTTTTACCTTGGAACGACCGTACAGTTAAAAAGATATAATTTTAAGAATGTCCCCTAAGATATGTAGTAGCCTCTGTTGTCCAGCCACTTCACACTGGGCTTCGGTTGCCTGTTTTTAGGTGATTGTTGTTAAAAGCTCTATCCGGATTATTAAATTTGACAAAAAAAATGTTGTATGCCCATATATAGTCATTATGTGCCTATATATGGTCATGATGTGATGTCATCATGACCATATTTAGGCATGTCACATGTTTATTTTTTTACACACAGCCTTATGACATAGCTGTATTTTTTCCTGTGAGTCGCAATTTAATGATTGTCATCGAGCATAGACACACAACACAGTATCCTTAAATTACTGAACACGAACGGCCAGGATTTTGATACTGCGGTCCAACATTTAGAGCGGCAAGTATGTTTTACTTTCAAATATTTATACCTTCTTTGTTAAAAACTAAATTTATACCCTGCCAGAAAAACTAAAACTATACCCTGCCAGAAAAACTAAAACTATACCCTGTCAGACACCATCCCGGTATTTCTACAAAAAGTTATATGGTTGTAAAATCCCATAGAAATATTTGATTAAAAAACTTTTTCAACATACATACGACAATAATGATAATATAATAAAATCTCAGCGTGTTTAAATGAGTTTATAATTCTTTTGTTTTAATACAATGTCATTGAAGCATGAAGAAAATGTATCTCCGTAGTTGAAGTTACTTTTTAAAAAGATTTAACTGAGAATTTTGTCCCTATTAACGTTGTTTTTCATTAGACGACGTAAAGCAGATGAGAATTGCCTATGACGGAACACGTAGATGAACGGGTTGATGGCCGAACTGCTGCACAGCAATACCTCCGACATCAATTCGTACCAGTATATATCCGAACGTTCAAACCCAAATAAGAAGATTACAACTCTGACAGAATAAGGTACATAGGAAACAGCAAATAAGCAGACCATCAAAGCGATTGTTTTAGCTGCTTTAAATTTTTTATGAGCTGATGTTTGTGTGTCGAATGCATTCTGAGCCGCGGCTATGGCGTTCCTGTGCTTTCTTGCCTCCATGAAAATTCGGAAATACATAATGATTAATATAACCACACCTGTTGGAATAATGATCAAGATCAGGCGACGTTGAACTTCAAAGCCTTGTGGATTCATCTGGTAACAAATGAAAATTCCTTCAATTCGTTTGGTCTTCCAGAACAACTGGACGCTGGCATACAGACCGGCTAGAATCCAAGAAAAAACGATAGCACAATAAATTCGTGTCTGAGTAATAATTTGTCCATATCGTAAAGGTTTAACTATTGCAACATACCGGTCTGTAGTAATAAAAATGAGATGGAGAAACGACGCCGACATAAAAATTTTCACAGGTATGTATTGTAACTGACAATCAACGACGTTCTGCAGGAAGAGGGATCCCCGCACGACAAGCCCCCACACGAAGGTGGGGACACCGATGATCCCCGTAAGTAGATCAACTAATGCTAAACTAGCAAGTAAAGTAAACTGTGGCTGTTGTAAACTAGGAGTTCGGTGAATGACCATAAGAACAAATGCGTTTCCACAAATGATCACAAAGTCTAATGGAATATAAACAGTTAAAACAAATATTAGACTATTCCTTATTTCGTTGGTCGAGTTCCGGGTGTTAATAGCAAACTCATCCATTCTAAGGCCAGACGGAATCTAAACTAACCACATACTGAGAACCGAAAGGCACAGCATATAGATTAATGTTAATGAAATCTTATTACATGTCGTGACGTAATATATTTCCTTATAGGCCTATACATAGGAGATTACACATTAATACACATAGGCCTAAATAGACAGATCACGCTAACACAAATATTTTAATGCGCTCTTTAATCGCATTTAATGAACTCATCAAATGTATAATTGTACAAACACGCGCGCTTGGACACTCACATTATA